GTTATTTCCAAATAGCAATATATTGAGTCAAACTTACTTTATACAATATGCACCGATGAATATTAACATTGAAGAAATATAGGCAATGTTTTTTTATTGGTCATTTTAATACTAATATATTCAAATATACACACCTTATAACAATATAACTGATATCGAACACTCTCATATCGAATAATGAACGATTTACTTGACATATTGTTATTTTAACTCTATAGTATGCTGTTTCCACATAAAATATTCCCTGATGCATATCGTAATCTGATAAATTGGCATCATATAATGAAAACAATGACATCATACATGTATAATGTCATATTGACATAAGTATGTTGTTAAAATATTATGATGTTTCCACATTATATATTAAAAATGCACATCATATCATGATAGATTGACATCATGTAATAACATATTGACCGCTTATATTTAAGAAATAATATCGGTCTTAGCGGTGTTAATCGGTTATTTAACATCGGTTTTGTCGTTTTGATGCGAAAAAATTATCCACGAAGGCCGTAGTCAATTCTTTCGCATCAAAACTCCCAACCGATGTTAAATAACCGATAAACACCGCTTAGACTGATGTTATTTCGATTCATAAACAAGATTAAATAAGGAAGATCACTTATTTTTTCAAGCGGAAAAAACTTCCGGTGCCGATTTTCGTATAACGCTGTTTGACTTCGCACCCTACTGTTGCTAAGATATAGAAATAATGAAACAAAAGAAATGATGAGAAAAACAGTAATTCTATCAAGTTTTCATCGATAAAAACTTACGTCTTATAATGGATTGCATTGTAATTACACCAGTGCCCAATTTATCATTCTTATATGTTTGAAATGACGTCAGCGTTTATGAATGAGTTGTATACTTAGGAATCCTAAGTTAGGATGACGTCATTACGCTGCTTGCGGATTGGCGCCGTTTTGTCAAAATATTCATTAAATGATATGGATCAAATTCGTGGCGTTAGAGTAAGTGAGAAATTATTTAGGTATTATTTGAAAAGAAAACATTATAAGAACTTACAATATCAATAAAAATGCTTTTTGCGACGGACGCGCCCTCAGGCGCGTTCAGAGCTAAGTCATCTACATGGGATTTCGTCTGCTACACTCGCGCAAAGTGTCCTCAACCGATTAACAGCCCAAGAAAAAGTACATGAATTTGATCCTTTAAAACTCCCATACTATGTCGGATATCTTAAAATCTTCCATATTTAGCCTTTCAATTTCAAATTAAGTTATCCAAGTTAAAATATGGACGTATATGATTGATAAAAAACGTTGTAGTCCCGTAGTATTATTGCGCAATTATGCCAAATTACTGCCGAAACGATTTACCGCTGTCGAAAAAGTAGGACAGCAAATTATACTATAATAAAGGTGTAAGCTCTGAGTTCCAAGAAATTATTAGTAGGAAATAAATATTTCTACATTATACACAAACATTATTATTAACAAATCAAAAGTTTTTTGGACTCTAGAATAACTCGCGCATTTAATAAAAGAAGAACTATTTTCGTGACTCATACCGCGGGTTTAGCTGAATATTCAGCAGTTATTAATAAATTAGATACATTTTCTAGGTCACGATATGAGTTAACCTTCGCTATTCTAAAAATAGATTCTGCTTTACCTGTGCTGATTTTCGGACAGTAGGGAGTACACATTATTCATGTTATAAACCATTATACATGTTATAAACCAGCGGATACTTACTTTGTTCACATGCAATACTTTTAGAAATTCTATACAATTGTAAGAAGCAAACAAGTTGAAAATGTAATTTAGTGTGAAAATGAAAAGGACAACTAAACACTATAGTGCTTTTAAAAAAAAATTGTGACATTTAGATTAAAATAAAAACGATGTGCTCTGGCCCTTGCAAATAAAAGAAATCTAAAAAATACGGTGACTATTAATTGCTGATGATTTTAACCAAAGATATTTTTAATGAGACGTACATATCCAAAAGAAATAAAAATACAAATGACTTATATTTTATTGTCTATATGCCCACTATGTTAAAACACGAAGCAATTATAAATAACATTCTTACATGTATAATCACGGATTTATCCGTGGTATAATGTATTATGCTTGAAGTCTATTTGCATGGTTTTATTTTAGAAATATGTCGTTGAAAGTTTTTTTTCCATTTACATATCATTTCTTGGAATAAATCGATAATGACACTGATTTACAAGTTTGACCAGGGTTTTAGGCATATATTTCATTCTGCTTGAAAGTAGAAAATCTGGATTATATCAGATTGGGACACAAAATATATTGCTCCTTGTATGGAACAAATTTTCTCTGTTATAGATTCCTATATTTTGTGTTTTATTTTTTTTTCTAAATAACCCTAAATGTCTCCCCGGTTGCATGTCCGTCGCATTCAGTGCTGCAGCACTTTGATTTATTGTTGCTTTAAAAGGCTTTGTAAACTATATAATCGAGTGAGAAAACATAACAACCTCTAACCAGTGTTTATTGGCAGTTTAACATCGTTTTTTTCTTCTTCTTTGTGTATAAAGACAAAGTCACGAGGAGTGTTAGAATGTAAAATACATAAAAAGATGTTTCCACAAAATATATTTATACCACAAAATATATTTATAATTCCTCATCGTGCAATAAGAGATTGACAATATATTGTTGAATTGACATTATATAATGATGCTACCACATAATATATTCATAAATGCACATCGTATAATAATAATTTCACATCGTATTTTGAAAGATTGATCTGATATATCGATAAGTTGACACTATAATGATGCTACTACATAAAACATTCATAAATGCACATCGTGTAAAGATATATTCACTTGTGTCGAATAATGAAAGATGTACATGCCATATTTATAAGTTGGCAGTGTATAATGATGCTACCACAACATATATTCATGAATGCACATCGTATAAAGAAAGATTGATATGATATATTGATAAGTTGACAATATATATTGATGCTAACATATAATTTATCCATACATGTACATCGCAAAATGATAGGTTGCCATCATATAAAGTGCTAGAGCTAAATTATTTTGCATGAAATATCATCTAGTCAGTGTCTACCAAGTTCGTTCAAATAAATGCGCCGGAGTCAAAATTTGCCCCGCCCCGGGCGTCATTGATTTTATTAATTTGTTCATAGTAAAAACTTTTACAATCTTCTTTTTAAAAAACCCAAAAAGCTAGAGCTTAGGTATTAAGCATGAAACATCTTTAGTGGGTGTCTACCAAGTTTAATTAAATAAAAGCCCTGGGGTAAAAATTGGCCCCGCCCCAGGGGGTCATTGATTTTCCTAATTTGTATATAGTAAAGACTTAAAAGATGTTTTAAAAATAAGAAAAAAATAGCTAGAGCTTAGATATTAAGCATGAAACATCTTCTAATGGGTGTCTACCAAGTTTGTTCAAATAAAATCCCTGGGGTAAAAAAATGGCCCGCACCAGGGGGTCATTGTTTTTTCCCTTTATGTGTATAGTAAAAACTTAAAAAATCTTCTTTTAATAACCCCAAAGAGCTAGAGCTAAGACATTTAACATTAAACATCCTCTTATTAGTGTCTACCAAGTTTGTTCAAATAAGGGCCCTTAGGTTAAAATAAAAAATAAAAAACATCTGTTAATTGCAAGCCTTTTCAATTACCGTCACTCACTTTTTATTTTGTACAGCATCTTTAATATTTTCTGGGAGAAGAAATAGTTCTTCCATATATTCTCTATCATCATTATCTTGTAACAGTTCCATTAGCTGTGACTGTTCAATTAGCTGAGTATTTATGATCATTGAAAAACACGAACAACATAGCAAATACTAGTATCTTATTCCATATCATACATTCTAATTCTCAACTCTTATATGTTTGTCCTTCTTGCTTGTAGATAATTAATGTCTGAGATGATACTCTGATAAATAAAGATGACTTGTGGTGCTAGCTTGAATAACTTGATTTATGTGTAACAATTAAAATGCATAGCCAGTTTTCATAAATCTGAGGTTGTGCTATTTTCTTTATCATATCATTTGCGAATAATCAAGACTTAGAATGAATGTTTCATTCATTTCATGATATTGAAATTTGCTTATTTATCCATATTTATGTCGTATATCTAAAAGCTCGAAATCATATGACGTTTGTAAGCATCAAAGTCCTCCATTTATTTCTACAAAGACATTTGCACGTAAACGAGTACTTCAGTGCAAACATTAATTTAGTCCGTTTCAATGTAATTTACTCATTAAATTCTTTGAAAAATTTAGACATAATATTATTATGATTCCTTTACTAACATATCAGGTACTGTGTAAAGATCACGTGCTCCTCCACGCTCTTCTGTAATATACAATGATATTTCTTATTTAATATACAATGATATTTCTTATGATATGTATACAATGTATTTGTATCCGGCGACATGTTCGGATGTTATTGACCATAGTAAAAATACTTTTATTTCGAGAAGCATCATCTTGTTTCGGAGGACAGAACATGTACGTGTACACAATGCGAAAGGCATTTCATACTTTCTGTTGCCATTTTCTGTTGACATCCTTTTACTTCGTACGTGTATGTTTGTGGTGCATTAATGCAAATAATGATGCTGATATGAATACTTCCGGAAACAACACAATAAAATTTTAACTAATGCTTTTGTTGCTGAATGAATAAATAAAAAATAGGTAAAAAATGCCTTTGAAAGAAAACTCACATTGTTTCAAAAATTTCAAAACACACTCATTCTGTTGGAACCATTTCCTAAATATCAACTGTATGCGCTAAAGGATGGCATCAATCCTAACTGTTGTTTAAGAAACATTTTTAACATTTTCTGTGAGAATATCAAATTCTACAATTTCTTCCACATTCCCATAAACAGTTTGTAACCAATTTAACAAATTTGACTTCATTTGTGGATCATTGGTGGTATTTTTTATCTTTTTTTTAGTTTTAGCGATCTTGCAAATATTTTTCACTAATCATCTAACTCGTTTTCGCTGTCAGTATAGACTTTGACCATATATTCCTTATTCTTATGGACTTCAAAATTTTTTTCATCCGTTTTATCCAGCTCATGTCTCCTTAGAGCAAACTCTATAATCTTGAAATGACTCTCATCTGATATTTGGTATGCCGTTCTGGCAGCTTTGAACTGTTTTAAAGTATGGTCTGAGGCCAAATTAATGCATATTTCTTTCAATTCTTCTAGGCTATACAGTTCAGACAAATGAATATGCCGGTATAATTCTTCCACATTCCTTGTGTACCTATTCTTTACTATATGCTTGAGCATTTTTTCGCAACGTTTCATCATCTTCCCTACGTTATATTCATGAGCCAATGGAAGAAGCATGTAGACGTTCTTTTCTACAAAATATGACATATTTCTATTTAGATTCATGATGAACATTTTGATGTTACATGTTAATGAACCTGTGTATGTTGGTACTTTTAAAATGAAAAGCAAAGTTTACATCCGCATGTTTCAAAGCGAAACCTACCTTTGAGGTTTCATTTAGGACACCACGTTTACCATCCGTGGTGAGTATCGTGGTTAGCCCCCTCATACCTTTCATATTTTATATAAACATTATATAAAATAATGTCATTATATCAAAATACACATTATATCTAATTTAATGAAACGTACATTTATAAAAAAAAATATCATTTATCATCAAATTTTTTAATTTTTATAAGATGAAATAAAGTGCACATTATTTATTATCTAATTCTATGTATTTCACGTTTTTAATGGATTTTGAATTCAATATTTCGTTTGTTGGCCTTGACTATATTAACAGACTCACACAACTATATCAAATTTAAAGATTCATGATAACCAAATATTATAAATTCTATAAATGCCATACCGGTCACTTTCTTCATCATATCAGGATATATACATCTCAGGAACTCCACGAAATGTTTATAACTTTTGTCAGGTAATGACATCTCAGACTGCGATTTCTCTAGCATGGCGCGGAACCAGGGGGATGCTATACACAAAACTGTCTTAGAAACGTGTATTCTGTGATTCTCTACATTCAATGTTAGGTCTGCGAATCCATTTTCTTTACAAAAGTCATTATTGTCTTCTTTTTTATAACTTCTTTTGCTGATATTCTTTGCTTGTGACATTCTGAAAACTTAGACGATATAAGGCTTTACTGTATGAGCTGATATATATTTTAACAAACATGTTGAGTCCTCAACCCTTTACCTCATATAGACGTGTTTTTGACTGCCTCAAACAGTGCAAACATACCCTATTTAGGCCCCAAACATTGTTTTTCGTTTGAGAAATGTTGATAAAAGAGTGATCACTTTTTCGGCGCCGCACCATATCAATAAGGGGTTGCCAGAATTGGGATGTGCCCCTTCTGTTTCGAAGGTTTGAAGGGAGCGGAAGCCCCCTCATCGCCAAGAAAATTTGGACATGTGACAGGCTACAAATGACCTTAGTTCGATCGTAAGGTAATGTGTAACCAACACTGAAAAGCCCTTTACTCAATATCAATCCATTGAGATTGCAGCACTTTGAAATCAGTTTTTATGATAAAAACAATGCAAAATAGTAATTTTTGGCAATTTTGAGACGTCCTACCGTTGCCATAGTAACAGGAAATCTAAGATTGAGCATTCTGTTACAGAGGCTATGGTCCAGATAACATTTGGGCCAAGTTTCATTAGTATTGAAGCATTTTTCAAAGTTTCATAGCAGTTTGAACTTGTAACAGGAGGCTTTTTAATGGAAACGGCCATTTTTCACAATATGCTCATGAGGTAAAGGGTTATATCTTAAGCATTATAGAAACTGTTCAATCAATTCAGTTTGAATATAGTAAATATTTATATATAAATGATGCCGTTTTGCGCTCTATGAACAAGAGACATGTAGATAGAATACAAAAGAAGTTCTGGAAAAAACATATCTCTTAATCTAAACCGGTTATGCTGAATGCTGAGGATTATGCTATATGGTCAGGGTTATGCTGAATACTTATGGTTATGTAATATAATGTTAAAGTTCTGTTCTGTTCTGTTCATATTCTTGGATGTTTGGAAATTATTTTAGAAGAATAATTATATACGTATATAAAATTTCATTTATTATAAGTATTGTTACATCCCTACAAAACATGCGCGCCCATCTCAATCATAGTTAAATGAGACTGATTTGTATGTTTATACCGGCTTCATACTAATAAAAATTTTGTTACTGTTAAGATGTAGCTTTTATGTGACTAGTGCATGCTTGTATATATCTTTAGTTATGGTAGCTATAATTGTTGTTATTGTTATAAAAGAAGTTCATAGTGAAACAAACAGGTTGTGGGTACTTTGTATACTTCATAATAAACCATTTCAGGTTACAAATAAATAGAAATATCCCGCTCTGTACTTATTGCATATATAATAAAAAAACAAATAAAGAACAATAATTAGTATCGAACATTATTTTAATTAGTACATGCAGTTTATTGTAAAAACAATTATGAAAAATTATTTTTAAAAAATTTTCGCTTTCGGCATACTAAGGGATAGAATACAATATAAATGTATATTGTTTACTATTGGACTATTTGTTACTTTTATAACAACAATTACATATCTTTTAATCAGGTGATGGGCTAAAGCCCATGTTTGAGTATTATAAAGCTGATTACTAAGACGTTTTTTATGTATAATGTCACCTTACATTTTCTTATAATATTTTATGTGTTTGTTTGTTGTTGCTTTATTCAAATCTTGCTTTGGAGACTGTTGAATTTAACCAGTAATAAGCTCCAAAATATATATTCAATTTACTTAGAAATATTAAAACTGAAAACAATGCACCAGGACGACTTACAGGCAGAGATAATACTAGTATTCATTTTGGTGATATGGGATGATGAGTTTTGTACATGTTCATTCAGTAGCTTGATGTTTTTCGTAAGTTACAGCATGATACTCTGTCAGTCTAGTTTATCACTTGGAATAAGTACACGTACTTAATTCATTAGATGAAAACATTTAAAACCCAAAATAACAAGGTTTTTCTGTAATTGAAAGTTTACTTTAAATGCGGATAATATTAGGTTGGACACTTTAAGGCCCTTAAGTATGCCTTAAGACCAGTTTGTATAAAGCCCTACAGGTCCCCTAGTAGCCAACTTAACACAATTTTGGACAAGCTTAGGCCATTAAAACAAAACAAGAGGGCCATCATGGCCCGGAATCGCTCACCAGAAACAACTTTTTTCAGTGATTATAGAAATAATTTTTCAAATTAACTTGTAGAAAGACAAGTCCAGCTTAACTTCAACTTGCCTCTCATGTTATATAAAGTTTGCCGACACTGATTGTTTTATTTTTCTTCATAGTAAAAATGGTAGGAACCAATTTTGTTGATCATCCATCCATTATTTTGTGAGAAAATTTGCAGATAACTGTCTTTCGAATTGCGATCTTTCCTTTTTTACTTATCTAAAAAAATAGATAATTACATAATCTCAGTATTTAGATATACATTTACACCGTTTGTCAGGATGACACCACCGGTCAATATTTATTTAAGGTAATATAGGTATACTAGTCAACTCGACCAGAAAGTTAACGTTTCAGATTAAATTATCTTACTCTCTAATAGAAATAGAAAGAATTGTGACTTTAATTACATAAAGGAAAAATAGCAAAAGGTTGTTTTAATGAAGTGTATTCAGTGAACAAGAAAAATCTTTTAATAAAACAACTTTACATACAGGGTTGTATGAAACAGAGCAAAATTACTTTGAACAAGTGAGAACCAAGTGCAAAATGTGATTCTGGATAGAAACAATTGAAAGTGATACTATAAAAGCACAAAGAATAACAAATTACATAAAGGGATGCAAGAAAAACTGCTAAAGTTGACACGAGTTCACGCAGACTTAAGTTTTGTTCCTTAATGTACAATGCTAAGTTACAAAAGATTATAAAGTAAAATAAGATGAAAAAAGAATTTTAGCCATATCTACATTTATGAAATAAATTCAATTTTATTAACATTTAACTTACTAGAATAGAGTGTTTCTCTATTCAAAAAGTATTTGAATACATGTATTACTTATTAAAAAAAACAAACAAACAAAAACAAAACAACAACAAATAACTAGGATTCAGTTCAGGCTATTGGGAGCCTCACAGGTCCATCGATCAGGCTATACAATATATTATTATTATATTCTCATACAATACAACATATACTGTAAATGAGTCACAGTAAAAAACAATCACCTGTTATATACAGTGACAATAATCCATGCACATGAAACATTAGGTTCAACAGTGTGTTCCAATAGTTATTGACATGTGTTTTCTCCAAGTTTGTGTCCAATTCAACAAAATTAACAAAATTCAATAAAACAAATTGAGCATATTAATAAGGTACAGGTAATAAATGTAATCTTTCTTTAGGCATAATTTCATTTCCTGCGAAAAATTGTCTACACTGACCTACAAATGACCAGAATGATGCAATGCCTGTTCAAATTCTAGAGCTGAAAGTAATTAACACAAACAGAAGAGGAATGTTTGTTACCATTGCATCTGTGAACACTAAATAGTTCCAGAATAGATTATATTCTATACAATTGAACTTTGCCGTCTAGTGAGGTCCTATTTGAGTATGCCAAATGAAAAACAATGTGCAGATATGTAAACTGATCAGATACAAAGCAAATGATCTCAAACCATTTCTTCAAGATCTTTGAAAAGCAAACAGGTCATGACATTAAGAATTTCTCTTATTTTAGAAAAATTGCATAACATGTACACATGTATGGAAGACATTCCAAGATGAGTTGTTTCCCTTTCATTATTAGACTATAATTTGAAGAAATGTCATGGCCTGGGTCATTTTAGTTTATGTGACCCCTAAAAGGGGCCAATCAAATTCATATTAGCAAATTTGATGCAATAGTACCTAAGAATGCTACAGGCAAAGTTTGGTGATCATCCATCAATAAGTTCTGTAGCAGAAGCTGTTAGAGGTTTTTTTTTCGCTGTAAAGGCACCTAAAGGGACCAATCAAATAAATTTGAACAAATTTGATAACGGACTATATAAGAATGCAACGAGAATATATCAATTAGTTCAGTACAAAAAAAATGTTTTTTATTAGGTTTTTCTATTTTTAGCTATAGCGGCGCCTAAAAGTGGCCAAACAAGTTAATTTGAGCAAACTTGATAAAAGGCTACCTAAGAATGCTACAGACAAAGATTGGTGATCATCCATCCATTTGTTCAGTAGAAAAATAAGATTAAAAAGAACTCTTTTTAGCTTAGGCGGCCCCAAAAACGGTTCCAATCAAATCAATATGAGAGACTACCTAAGAATGCTACAGACAAAGTTTGGTGATCATCCGTAGAAGGAGACATTAAAAGGTTTTTCTAATTTTAGCTTTAGCTAAATTCATATGAGCACATTTGATTAAAAGGTTTTTCTAATTTTAGCTTTAGCTAAATTCATATGAGCACATTTGATAAAAGACCACATATGAACGCTACAGACAAAGTTTGGTGATCATCCAACAAATTACCAACAACTACTTCCAACAATTATAACAACATTCATAGCAGATAGCTGAATGTTACATTGTTTCTCCGAATAAACACATCTGCAAATATTTTAAGACATGGCACCCTGTGATTTGTTATCCTTGTTTTACTAAACAAAAAAACTTGCAGGTCTACACAACAAGAATAGAAATGGATGTGGGTCGTCCATTTTTAAAAGGTATACGTAAGAAGGACTTTATAGAAACATTAAAATGTTGGAACTTTCTATTTTTGTAGGAGGAAATTATTTCAAACTTATGCAATAGACAATTAAAGCAAAACATTTATTGACCATATTACATTACATATTGACCGATCCTCGTATCATGGCAGAACTTTGCACTATGTTTCACAACATATACATTTGAAATTGAAAGTAGCTATATTACACGCTATTAGTAGAACCAAGTTTCTTTAGAAATATACATTTTGTATATCATTACTTTTATAAAACATTTAAGCTATTTTCATACAGTTAATATGCTATTTTCATACTATATATATGCAGGTGTATATATATGTGACTAAAATATGATTATTTACGAGATAGGAAAATTCTGT